GCTGCATTAATGACCTAACCAATTTAAGTACTAACGAACATCTTACATTTCTGCATTGCTGATGTCTGTGTCATGAATTTGTTTTTGCGTATCTGTTGATCGACTTAATTAGTTGATTATTAGCAAATTGCTGTGTTATGTCTGTCATCGTTCAGGCCTATTTGCAGTTTTGGACGGAACTTGGCTCAGTGGTTTGGAACTAATTACGAGATAACCGTCGCTATTCTGACTACTCATTTTGACAGTTGGTATTCATAGTTATTAATGTAGTGAACGATTAATCAAAAGATATGACGTATTCAGTACTTAGTGTGATTGGCCTTATGATTGAAGGTTACGCCCTAGAGTCTTTTTACTGCTTTGTAATTGGTTAGAGTATTGAAAATGAATAAAGAGTGTTTGAATTGGTCTTGAGGAGTACAGCAGAACAGACGCAGTCCTGGAGAGCCTTGGGGCGAGCCTTGACGCAGTCTTGGACTAGTCTTGGGTCAGCCTTGCGATAGTCTTGGGGATTTTTCCCCAGGGCGCTGTGTCTTATAGAGTGCTCGATTGACCGACTAAGACGAGAGCTGAAACGTATTTCGTTGTGTGTGCCGTATTTGACTGTAAAGTATAAGTGACTTCCCGATCCCGTACCTCAAGGGGACGCGATAGAGAGACAAGACAAGATTCCCCCCTGACAAGTGTGGAGAACCCAGAGGTGAAGAATTTCCCCCTGATATCTGCATGCATATTCTCTGCACTATTGACAGCATCAATCCCTGGACTTATAACTGTCAGGATCCCGGTACTACTAACTGCACCACTCACAGTACTACTGATGTACTGCCGTATTACTACTACATAGGCCAAATTGTGCACTACTAACTGCACTAATCCCTGCATAAAAGCACTACTGAAAATTCAATTGTCTGCACTACTAACTGCACCAATATGTGCACTACGGATGAAGCCAATCCCTGTACTACTGACAGCGCAAATCTCTGCACTACTGATGGCGCAAATCTCTGCACTACGGGCGATACAAATCCCTGCACTACGTCAGCGCCAATCTCTGCACTACAAACTGCGCCAATCTCTACATTACTCACGGCGCCAATTTCTACATTACTGACGGTGCCAATCTGTGCACTACGGACGACGCCAATCTCTGCACTACAAACTGCGTCAATCTCTACATTACTGACGGCGCCAATCTCTACAGTACGGACG